CTTTCCCCACTCCCTTTCCCCATCCCAACCCCGCCCCCTCATCCCCACCCCTTCCCCCCTGCCTGGGGAGGAGGCGCTGCCTTTGTTCCGCCAAGGGTTAACCCGGATTGTGTCTGTCACCCAGTTGCCCGGATGCTGATGTAAGGGGAGAGCTCGAGAGATCCCTTCAGATTGCAGTGAGAGGAGGCGAAGGACCAGCCCGGGAGAAGAGGCTCGCCTGGAGCATCCTTCATCCACAGCATCATCCTTGGCTGGACCAGCTGGATGATGCTGGTACCCGGGCTGTAGCATTCTTCCTTCTCTACCCTCCCTTTCCTGATGCCGAGAGCATCCCCCTCCCGCTAAACCCATCAGGATGCCGGCCTCGGTATTGTCCCTATAGGGGGGCACTGGGGGGCCTCGCCTCGCCGTACCCCTTCCCACCCCACCACCCCGTTTCTGATTGTTGCTCAGAAGGGCGACAGACAAAAGCCATGTCCGGTGGCAAAGAAGCAGGTGGGGTCCACCCCTACCAGTCACAGCAGAGCCAGCAGCACGCTCAGTATGTGGGGCCCTATCGGCTGGAGAAGACTCTGGGGAAAGGGCAGACCGGTGAGTCTCTGGCAGCTTTCGAACTGGGGTCTGGAAAGAGAGCGCCAGTTCCACAGGGTGGGCAAGGTGCGACTAGCCCAGCAGCTGAGGAAATTGCCTTCATCTCGGGCTCGGATATATCTAAAGATGGGGGATAATAAAGGAACATCTGGGGTGGTTTGACCAAACGGTTGAGGTTAATCTGGCCCACTGGGAGGAATAAAAAAATGCGGGGAGGTGGTAGGTGCGTGGAACTGTTGATCCTATGGCAGAGTAAGGTGGGGTTAAAAGGGTGGGGGAGCAGATGGCTCCACTGGACATTTGGTTGGGGCTTGTGGGGTGAAGGCGTCAAGAGAAGGTTGTATCCTCACTTTCCTAGAGTTTCTTTAGGGGGAGTAAATGGGAGCCCTGCTTAGGGCAAGCAGCTTTTGGGTAGGTAGATGTGGGGTGGGGTTTGAGGAATAGCCCTGGAGACGTTGGGGGTGCTGTGGGGGACCTCTGAGAAGGGAAAGAGTGTTAATATCGTCTGTGCTGGAGTTAGAGAAGAGCACTGAATGTTTCCCCTGTTCAGGTGTATTTGGGGTGCTCCTAACCTGCAAGAAACAACATTGTAATAGTAAAAAGGCATAGGTTTTAAAAAGGCTACAACTACATTACTACTTAACCGCAAGTGTTGTTAGATTCCTCGAAGACACAGTGTGTACATGGTCACAGAGAGATGTGTGTTCCATATCTTTGTAAGAGATGTGTGTGTGTGTGTGTGTGTAACACACCACTTAAACAGAGAGAGGAAGGTAGTGATGGATTTTACAGCTGGGTCACTTTGAAGCCTGCTTGGCCAGGTGATTGGGGCCTGAAGGTGCAGCTATTGCTTTTAAAAAAACTGCTGCAATGGCCAGGTTTGGTTGGGAAGGAAGAAAAATCCAAAAAGGGGGAGAACACAGTTCACACAAGATTTACGCTACAAAGATAACCTCTTAGGGATGAGGACCTTGGCATCCTGATCTGTTTTATCTCCATCTCTGTCCTGTGGAGAGTCTGGATCTGAGGACTCAAACTAGGGGTGGCGAAAACTGTTGTCGGAAGGCCTATACATTTCTCTCCCCCACCACCTCTTCTCCTGCTGCAGCACTCTGTATGAATGGAACAGGGATTTTTTTAAAACTCTGCAGGGATGCTGATTCGACTGTGCGGTTTATACGATGGGCTTGGTTACAAGAGCGACTGCTTAAATAAATGCCTAAGACTGGGTTTATGGAAATTTGTCTTCTGTAGCTCCTCGTCTTCTTTCTTGGTCAGGCACTGGAGGGAAGACTGGAGAGGGGGGGGGGATCTATCCATCTCTGCAATGATGCAGGAAAACTCAGACCACAGGCCTCTCTCCCCAGTCCTTTAATTTGTGTGTGTCTGTGGGTAGAATGAGCTTTGAGGCTTCAAAAGGGGGTGGTGGATTTCTGCAGTGGCAGGAAAAAAAAAAGACATCCTGTCTATAGAAGGGGCCAGGATATGTTTGCGTATGTGTGAGTGTGTGAGTGTGTGTTTGGGAGTCGTTATTTTTTTCTCCCCAGAATCATTATAATAAAGATCTGGAGCAGGTGGGTAAAAGAATCAGAGGAGGCAGCAGGGAATAAGGGATGGCCAATTTTGCTGAATAATCATTTCTTGACTGTGGCGGCAGGCAGTTCATACAAAGATGATTCAAGAATATCCCTGTGAATGGGCAGATGGATGGATGTTGTTCTTGGCCTGGGGCGGGGGTGGGGGGTGGGGGGGAGAGACCAGGTTGTTTCTGATAGCCCAGGAACTGGAAGGCAACTGGGGAAGGCAGGAACAGTAGGACAAATGGATGCCTCATCCAGAGAACAGAGAACTTAGATTTATTTTACTTTGATGATATTGGCATGGATTCCCATCCATTTATTTCCTTGACTTAAAGAGTTTTATTAGAGTAAGAATGTTCAGTAGTGAAGGAGATGGACAGACAATGAGTGAAGCTCATAAACAAGTGACATGCCCAAGGTCATCAAGGATATGTTGGTAGCAGAGATGCAATTAAACAATGGTAGATATTTCAGTGCCTCCTTGATGACCCTGTTTAGTTTTGTTTTCCAATCCCTGACAAAGCTGAGCTGGGATTCTCCAGATGGAACTGGAGTGTATGATGAATGGCCTATCTGTCGGTGCAATGAAGAAGCATTCGGACATGGAGAAATCGTTTTGCAAACTTTGAAAAAGAATCTGTGGATGATACGATAGCAAGCATGGCCGCACTGAAAAAGTTGTTCTAAAATTATGAAAAGATTCCAGTAGTAACCGGAAGCCTCACTTTTTGCAATTAGAATCATTTAAGTAAGTTTCTTGCTTGCTGTCTGGGCAGAGATGCAGCTAGTAGCCTGCTGATCTTGGATTTAGGAAGTCTATCGGTTATGAAACTGCAATAGACAAGATGCCAAGGAAGTTAATCATACTTCAGTCCCATTGAAATCAGTAGGACTCAACATGATTAGTTACTGTTGTATTAACACTTTTCAGTACTTTAGAGAAGGCATAGACTAGGTTACTAGCCTTTTAATATCTATGCCACATACAGCATTTCCTGGTAGTGATAAGGATTATAGAGTTTGGGTGCATATTTGCCAGTATATCACAAGTGCAATTAAAACCTAGTTTTATCCTGAGCATGCTTATGCTGTTCTATGTAAGCTAGGATCTTTAATTAACAGATTACCTTGCAAACCAACATATTGCCCGCATCCCACAAATATGGACTGACAACACACTCAGGATATTGACAACATGCAGAATGTTGTCAGTTCTTGATTTCACTAGAACTAAAGCATGAATGGTGATACTGGAGCAAAGCAAGGGGATATGCCTTTGGAAAATCTGGTGGTCTTAGGGCTATTTGCTAGACGTGGTTTTGACATTCTCTGTCCCCAGTGCCATCCCAAAGCAAACTCTCTTTCTAGCTCAGCTTATGCTGCCCATCTTTTAAAAGGCAATATTACGGTTATTTCCCATGGATGTTGTGAGCTGTGTGTATGTTTCACGTGCTGTAGAAAAAATTAGCAATAATACTTGTTGTTGTTGTTTAGTCGTTAAGTCGTGTCTCTTATTTGTAAGTTTAGGTTGGAGAGATACTAACAAAGCTCAAAATGAGCTCGCACTCTTCATGTTTGGAAATGTTAATTTTTTTCGCCCTATAAATCAAACATGGAGATTTCTCTACCATCCTCAAACTTTTGTTTAAATTTGATAGGGTTACTAGAAGATATATGAATGGGGTCTACTCTATGGGAAAATGGCCAACCTAGCCCACTGATTTGTTCTAAAATATTATACTCTATACTTAGTAATACAGCTAAATAGTTTTAGACTCTTAACTTTTATTATTTATTTATTTATTTAAAATATTTGTGTGGGCACCCATCTTAAAACCAGATCCCAGGGTGGCTCACAGCCATAATATAAAACAGTATCATACAAAGGATTAAAAAAAATCCACTCAGTAAAAATAGTCTTAACTTCACCCCCTTCAAACTTTGTGGTAAATATATTGTTTGACTCGTGGGGTCACGAAGAGTCAGACACAACTTAACGACTGAACAACAACAAAAAATGTTCTGACTTGTTCTACTGACGTATTTATTTGTTATATGTCATATCCAGCATTGCCTTGTAGGAGCTCAAGGTGGCATACATGGTTCTCCCTTACCCCTTTATTTTTACCTTCACAACAACACTATCAAGATATCTTAGACCAGGATGATAACTGGCCCAAATCAACAATGAACTTCAGGCTGAGTGGGGAATTGACCTCTGGGTCCTACGAATCCTATTCCACCACTTTTGATTTTCATCCTGCCTTTCTGTGATAAGACGTTCAAGGTGGCATACATAAAGTCATCCTATATTTTTTCCTCACAGCAACAACTGTGTGAAGTAGATTGTGCTAAGAAAAAGTGACTACTGTAGCCCCCAATCGCCCAATGAGTTCAATGGGTGATGGAGGATTTCAGACTGAACCTCCCTGCTCCCATTCTAATCCTCTTATACTAGCTGAAAGTCTAGTTTTCTCTGTAATCTGGCCTTTCAAATAATCTCACCAATATTATTTCACAAAATATACCAGGTCATGTAGTACTGCTGTTTCTGTCTATTAGGAATAGTCATTTTTTCATTGTATCTCTTTCTGACAAATCCATTTTTTCCTCCCTATTTTTGTCTTTTGGAGATGGTGCTAGCATGTGGTTAGTCTGAGTTATTTGTGTATATGTTATCCTTCAGGTTTCAACTGCAAACTCCAACTTAAATCTCAGAAAGCAGAAGAGATGTGCTTATTTTACATGGGTGCAAGGGTGTCAATCCATAGGCTGAAATGGTGCGGTATTGCGCAATGACATTTCACACACTGCTGCTGCCAAAGGAAACTTTGAAACATATAGCAGGCAATATGTTTGGGGGGGGGTGTTGAGTATCACCCCCAGCCAAACACAGCTCAAGATGTATTGAAATTCAATTCCCATCACCCCAGGAGATAGTCCAACACAACCAGCTAAATGGTTGTGGAAAGCTAAAGATACAAAGATGTCCTCAAACTAAACATTGGTGACTTCATGGAGACAACCTTGTTGTAATGGGACAGATTTGTCACTGAATGGTTTTTTCTGTGTGTGTGTGTGTGTGTGTGTGTGTATGCGTTTTGTTTACTTCCATGTGTAGTTTATAGCTCTAATATTCCTCAATAGTTTCCCATCCAAGAACTAACCAAGTCCAGCCTGCATAATTTCAGTGGCATTCACAGGGTCAATGTCTTTGTTAGCCAGCTGAAGTTGTATAGAATCCCTACAAACTTTTGAGCTTCAAGAGGTTCAGTATCATTTGTGGCTGATATTGGAGGCAATACTGTATATATGGAGTGATAGAAAGCCTATTGATGTCTAATTTGGATTTAGAGTGGGATAAGGGCTCTGTCAAAACATGCTGGGAAGAAAAATGCAGAAAATGGTGGTATATTCTAT